AGAGTACGACTTAATCAAACTAGAAATGCTCTACAAATCAAGGGACCCAGATTGTGGAATGACCTTCCCAGTCATGTTAAAGACTGTACCTCCCTCAACCAGTTTAAGATAAAAACTTAACACCACCTAATTAACTCCCTGTAACCTACCTAACCCCTATAATGTCAACCCATGTCTCCTTTTTTTTGAACAATGCTGTATGTCGACCAAATTGTATTTTTTGCTGTTTTTCTGCCATGTTCCCCCACTTTTTTTTTATTAATTTTCTCAACACATTTTATACTCTAATCTCAATTACTGTAGTATTAAGTTTTAGTCTTTAGTGTTATTTCTGCTTTGCGTAATAGTGGCTTTATAGGCATTTAAACGCTTTGCGTAATAGTGGCTTTAGGCATTGTATGTACTAGCTCTATCTATAAATTCATTAATATTTGTATCACACCTTGTATGTATGTACTTTATCTGAATAAACATTTGAATTTTGAATTTTGAATTTTGAATTTGACAGAGGAGAGGGGAGAGAGAGGAGAGAGAGAGGAAGAGAGGGAAAAGAGAGAGTGTGAGAGGGGGGAGAGAGAGAGAGAGAGAGAGAGCGGGTTGGGAGGGGAGGGGAATTGTTCTGCATGAGCATCTCCCACTGCCAGCATGTCTCTTGTTAGGGGGGGGGGGGGTGGTGGGATCCCCCTCCATGTATAACTATAACCATCCTGTGAGATGGTGATACTGTATATCACCTTACAGCTTTTGATATACGTCTTATAATCCTTCATATAGGATAGCAGCACATTGCTATGTACTGTTTACCTAAGCCTGTTAATTTAAAAAAAACTTGTATTCAAGAAGAATGTGTGTATGCTTTACTCCTTTCATTCAGATGATATTTTAATATTAATATTTAATTTTAATATTAATATCACATTTAATATCAATATTTAATCCCCCCAAATTAGTATCTTAAGAGATCTAGACATACTCCAGCAAGGAGTGAATTCTGACATACCTCACTCTGCTAGTTTGCTATGCAGAATTGCTTACAAAAACAAAGATTAAACAGCCTATATTATTAAATTACATTCTTTTGACCTTTCAGGTAAGTGACAGTTTACAGCTCATCGAGGGACAGCTACATACCAAATGGCAGGTATGTTCATATTACACTTCACAATGTCAAAGATGATATAACATATTGATTTATGCAAACATTCCTCTGCCTGGTGTTGTAATTGGTCTAGGATGTCTAGGTGTTTTGGAAAATACAACTGCCCAGGAGCTTTCCTTTATTACAGTTGACTTCATTCTTGACTCACAATCAGGAGGCAAGTTAGATTCCTCTGGTGAAACAAGGTTAAGCCTGCTCTCGGTGGCTAATTTATTTTGGGGTAAACTTCCATATGCACGTTTCATCCAAAACTGTTGTAACATATCACCTCACCCAAATGCGAGTATATAAGACAAAAGCTGTTTAAATATTAAGTACATAGAATGTAACTTGTATAAAGTACAAGAATGTAACAACTCTTGTATATATCTAAAAAAAAAAAAAAAAAAAAAAAAAAAAATAGTATAGTAAAACTCTGTTTAGTGTTTGCAGGTTATAGTTGTGTGTGTGTAAACTAAAGTCTTTGAAAATGTAATAAGTAATTTATTACGAAATGTGTTCAAGTGTCGTGTCAGACTAGAAATTATAATGAATTTTGGAGAATTGATTTTTCAATTACCATCAACAGTAAAAAGAAACATAAGAAATATTGAGAAAATTAGTGTTATTATTATTAATCTTACTTTTTCGGTCATATATATATATATATATATATATATATATATATATATTATATACAGTATATATATATATATATATATATATATATATATATATATATATATATATATATATATATTATATATATATTATATATATATTATATATATATGTAAAATCTGTCTGTCTGTCTCTCTGTCTCCATCCTCTAAGGATAATTCAAAATTGACATTGTATAGAAAATGAAGGGTTTGGGTAAAATAAGCAGAACATTCTAGGTGCTATAATTTTACCTTGGTATTCATAAAAAAGATTTACTCGCAGAGCACCCCTGAGTAAACATGAAATAAAATTATTTAATGCCTGCACCAAGAATAGCCTACTCAGCATGTGGGTGTAGAGCTGAAAAGGGAGTTTTGTCTAATAGCTGCCCTGATTTTTTCCTAGCCAAGAAGGGTTGTTTGGGAACCTATCTTTAATTAATGTTTTTCTCGGTTAACAAGGCAGTACTTGGGGACCTGATTATTTCCAAAACAAAGGACTTGGTAGGACCCCTTTAAAAAGATGAGACTAACAAAATTATAATGGATGATAAAAGGGCAGCAAGCACTCTGAATATTTTACATCAGTATTCACACAAGAAAGATTAGACAACATTGGATTACTTGCACAAATACTTGAAGGAGGTGAAGAGTACGAATTAAGGGTTATATCCATAATGTGACGTAAGCTGGAAGAGGAATTTTTTTATATTTATATACAAGAAGGCACAGTGGGCTGTGAACACTTTACATTGTGTTCTTACATTATTGCAAAGCCACTAGCAGGCATAGCGTTTTGGGCAGAAAAGATGAAACTTGGTATTGACAAACTGATGCAAAAGCCACAGGTATAGATGGAATTTATTCCAAAGTCATAAAGGAACTAGCAGACGAACTGTACCTATCACTAAAACACTTTCAGAAAATACCTGGACTAAGAATAGTTCCCCTTGATTGGAAATATGCTAATGTCATCCCTATTTTAAAAAAGTCGGTAAGAATTTGGCAGAAAACTACCATCAGATCAGCTTGATATTGCACATTTAAAAGCCCATGGAGAGAATTGTTAGGGAGGGAAGCCTTCACCATCTTGGTGAACAATCTTGTGTAATATCAATGCAACTTGGATTCGTTAAAAATAGATCCTGCTTTACAAACCTCACATTTTTGGAAACGGTAACCAGCTACTCAAAGGACTTCTGGTGGATGTAATTTACATGGACTTTGGTAAAGCTTTTGATAAGATATGATGTGAAAGACTAGCAAGGAAATTACAGGAATGTGGAATAAATGGTAGCATACTAGAATGGATAAAACAATGGTTAAAACAAAGAAAACACGGTCTTGCTAAACTGGAAGGAATCTGACTGGAGAAATGTGATGACTGGTGTACTGCATTGGTCCATTTTGGAGTCAACCCTTTTTGTCATGTACATCAATGACATGGATGAGAATATTACAACCCATATCATCAGATTTGCAAATGAGACCAAGATCTATGGTAAAATGGGAAGTGAAAATGATATTGAGACCTTGGAGATCTCCAAGGTTTCTATCATTCTCACTTCCCATTTTACCATAGTTCATACGTACCATGAACTCTACAAATATATTTATTTTCATTCATTTATTTATAGATACAGTATATATACAAGAGAATATATATTATACTGTATATACCTCTCAATTGGTTGGAAGACTGGTAAATGCTTTTTAATGCAAAAATGCATGACTTTGCATGTGGGGCATAACACTGCACATCAAAACTATCAAAGCAAGAACATTACCTTGCACCAGATTGATGAAGGAAAAGGACCTTGAAGTCAAAATCCACTAATAATTCCATATTATGGAATGTGGAATAGGAGAACATAGACCCGACACAACCTATAAATCATGTGAGAAATCCTTAAAGAATTCTGATAAAGAATGAGATCTAGGGGTGGTTCTAGATAGTTTTCTATCACCTGAGGACCACATTAAGAACATTGTGCGAGGAGCCTATGCTACACTTTCTAACTTCAGAATTGCTTTTAAATTCATGGATGGCAAAAATACTAAAGAAATTGTTCACGACTTTTGTTAAGCCAAAGCTAGAATATGCAGTGGTTGTGTGGTGCCCATATCTTAAGAAGCACATCATCAAACTGGAAAAGGTGCAATGACATGCTACTAAGTGGCTCCCAGAACCGAAGGGCAAGAGCTACGAGGAGAGATTAGAGGCATTAAATATGCCTAACTAGAAGATAGAAGTAAAAGAGGAGATATGATCACTGCATACAAAATAGTAACAGGAATTGATAAAATTGATAGGAAAGATTTCCCGAGACCTGGAATTTCAAGAACAAGGTCATAGGTTTAAACTAACTAAACACAGATGTCGAAGAAATATAAGAAAATTCACTTTCGCAAACAGAGTGGTAGACGGTTAGAACAAGTTAGGTGTGAAGGTGGTGGAGGCCAAAAACGTCAGTAGTTTCAAAGCGTTATGACAGAATGCTGGGAAGACGGAACACCACGAGCGTAGCCCTCATCCTGTAACTACACTTAGGTAATTACACTTAGGAAATTACAAATGGTAAATAAAGAGTACTGGAAAGATAGAACACCACAAGCGTAGCTCTCCTCCTGAGAGCTTGGGTAAATGATGATGACGACCACACTTTAATAAGGGTTAATGATTTTCGTAAAGAAAGTGAATCTTTTTGCTGAAAATGTCATTGCAAATAATTTCTAAATGTTTAATATTGTAGAAATCCACAAAATTCTTGTGCTATATATGCAGCTGCAGGTGATTTTTCTGAATGTTTTATTGAACATTGCAGGAAATGTAGGTTAAGACATCTATTTTTGAATACTCTATGCAATTTTACCTTAGCATCCTGGGTGTGGAAAGGGGGGAGCGCACAAGGGAAAGATCTCGCAAAGAAATTCTCAAGAGGTGCCAGATGCCTTAAATGCAGTTATCCTTTATTTGACCTAAAGGGAAGCTTCCAGAGGAAATGTCAAGGAATCAGTGATAATAAATGGAAGAGTTTTCAGTATGAATATCTCTCTAAATGTCCCGTTTTAAAATTGTCTAAAGTTTATCATAAAAGATGAAAAGAAATGATGGATTAAATGTAGTCTCATGTTAGTGCTGTAGTAAATGTCATTAAGTAAACATATATGGATAAGTTTGATGTAAAAAAAACTAAAAATTTTTAATTTAAATTTATTTGGCTAAAATAAATAACATGAAATTGAAGAGATAAGAATTATTTGGGTCAGGATTTATCCAATGGGAGGAAAACAGTTTGTGCAATACAGTACACAGTTATAAAACACAGAAAAAAACATTTTGTTGTACAGTATATGTAAATGTAAAAATTCATGGCACAATTAAATTGTAAAAAATAACAGCATACAAAGCTCACATCACTACATGCACATTTTCTTTGTTAATCTGATATTAGTTTTGTATTTGTAACTTAACTTTAAACTTATTGTGTATGAAACATCAATCCAAAACACACAAACGTTATTAGCAACCGTAAAGTTTTCCTACACAGGTAATCATTTTCAGATTTTAGATTTTTTGTATTTAAATTATCTTAAGATATTGCACAGATACTAGCATCATTTTGCCTGCAATTTCTCAGATTAACCATGGCGTAATTATTTCCTTTTTTGTTTCATCTTGCATGAACTCAAGGTCAAATTGCAGAAAAAATGTGTGCAAAAAAACTAGAAAAAAGTTGTTAATACAGTCAACATGCAGCACACATTATTGGCTGTGCAGTGTCACATGTTTCCAGGATTTGTATTAATTTCAAAGTACAACTTAAGGTACAGTGGCACCTCAATTAACGAGTTTAATCCGTTCCAACACCAAGCTCGTCATGTGGAAAACTCTTCTTGCGAAACGACAACAAAACTGTCGTAAAAGGTGTCCGAGAACCAGCAGAAACGCCCGTTAATCGAGGAAAAGCTTGTTAGTAGAGACAAATGTTCTGTGAGTGGCTTGCTCGTTACTCAAAATGCTCGTAGATAGAGCCACTGGTTAATCGAGGTGCCACTGTACATTGAAAAGATTGAAGGATATACCATATATATTAAGGTGTGCTTGTGTCTGTAGGGATTGAGCTCCAACTTTTGGGCTCTTCCACAAAATCCTTTAATTGTCTGAGGGGGAGGGGGTGCAACATTTTATTTGGGAGTTTTACTAAGAGACCAAATGGGCTGCATTTTGACTGGACAATGAAAATACCATCAAGGAATTAATGAACCCTTCTCCAGCAGTAGTGCTTACACGGGCAACTGTCACCAACAGTATATTATATACAGTACACACACAAAATACAATACTTTGATGTAAACACATTCATTAATTATGACTGTGTTGCATGACAAGTCATTAATCATCATGCAGTATCAAATTATATGTTTTAACAGCTATCTACTATTGGCACTTTTGAGTAGAATTATTGTACTGATTATAAATGGAATGTTAGGATATCTTATTTCTGATATTTCATCTGGTAGATATGGAAAAATTCTTTTAATATTAATAGTACTTTAATAAATACTTGAATCACAACCACTTTTTACGAGATGCATGTGAATGTTATTGACATTCATTTTTTTCATTGACAAAGCAGGAATGAGCAAGCCATAAAAAGTTTTCTTGTACACTTCTCTTGTGCATAACCATTTTATTTTTGTAATTGTAAATAAATTAATGTCTATACATCCTCTGTTCTGAACAAATATATGCTACATCAAAAGTTAAAGTAATAGCCATGCTCAAGTGGCCCCTAAACATAAATTACAGTACTGAATATTTGGATGTCTAGCAAATGCCCTATTCTTATTAATTACCTATTTTTGCAAATTAATACATGCAGTTATACACATGGCAGTCAAGCTGTGTCACACAAATTTAAATTCCTATATCGTGTAATGAAAACTTAATTGATTGATAACTCAATAATTTTTTTTATTGAACTGCACTTAAAACACTATACAGTATATAATATATATAATATATAATATATATATCTAAAGAAAGGAAATTGTCTTTTTGTCTGAGATTGGCCAGAGGCTTTGGGCTAACCTTGCCCAACTTTGCAGTGATTGCTGAGGGATAGAAGACTAACATAGGTGGGTTGGGGTCAGCCCCATTGCTCCCATTAAAATTTAGCTGGCTCCCATAGAAATCCCCCATGAAGTTGGTGGCAACTATGATATTGGCTCGACCTACTAAAGAAACATTTTAAAACATCTTTTTGTATTACTTCCTTTATCATAAAACATTCTGATAGTTTGCCCATGGTAAGGCCAAGAAATTTTTTTATGGAAAATAGTTGCACATTATGGGGGTGTTGACACGAGTTAGGACGTCACACGTCAATATGTTCCCATTTTGTTATTTATCATCCTTTTTTTTTTGGGGGGGTGGAATGATGCTGTGTTGACCTGGGTACCCCATTTAGTACTGTATTATAGTATAAATAAGAGGCCTAATTAGAAATGTAGCAAGATAGATTATAACAGTCCCCTTGCAATATGTTAATTGATTCATAATTTATAAGATTCTTTGAATTGGTATTTCTAATGCCAAGAAAGATAGCAGGTTATTTAGACTGCATCACAGTGCAAAACTGTGCTGTAATATATTTCTCTTGCATTCACCCTATACAGTATTTACGTTTGTAATATTTTTGCAATATAATTTGTCTATTTATGTATTCAATATGCATATATTTAAGGTGAAATGTTTGTTTCAAACTCGGTAAGTTTTTGGTTATACTGTAGTAGGTGATCCTAAGTCTGTTTACATTGTTTGAAAACCCATTGTTTGAAAACCCATTGTTTGAAAACAGGAGTAATACTAGCCTCTTTAATTAAGAAGAATTACAATTTAATTGTTAAAATAATATAAATCTCCAAAAATGTTTCCAGTACCAATAATATGGCATTCATTTTTCTTTATAATTGTCACCAAATTAATGAGACATTTTACTATTTGGACTAAAATTCCTAACATATCTGACCCTCGAGTATCCAAGTTACTTGTCACCATAAACTGTGTTTTACTCTGAAACTGAACATATTTATGAACCATAATGAAGTGATTTTTAAATGTAAGGAGATATTTATTTTTTTAATAAGTTCTCTGGTACTGTACAATGCAAAAATTAGCTTGGTAAATTTCTAGAGCTGATTATAAATGCTTTAATATTGAGCAGCTATTTCTTTAATACAGTAATATGATCAGTTTATTATACCAAAATCAGTAAAGATTAAGGGAACTAATTACTAATAAAGTAGGCTTCTCAATATTGAAGTTTTCCAATATAATGGGCATACCTAATAAAGGCATTGATAACAATTTCTATGATATGGAAAAGTTCATTGTAGATAATTATATAGTAAATTATTATTAAATAATAAAATTGCATCAATGTACATCTATTTTCCTTTGATATAGGCTACTGTACATTAAGTTGATGAATTTTTCATAAGATCCATTGTGACCCTGCTACGGTCTTGATAAACATTATCAAATAATGGGTAAAGCATATCCCATTCTGTATCAGTATTCATTTGAGTCATTTAAATTTAACTTTGTAATTACAGTACTGTATTAGAAAATTGATTTTTTCTTTTTGTATTTTGAAACACTAAAAATTAAACAGTATCAGGGTCTTACGAAAATATATCACATCACCTAAAAGATTTCAGCAGTTAATTAGGAGGCATATGGCAACCATGCATTTGACATCTCGGTAGTATGTATACATAAAGCTGACTTCACTTTAGATCTACAGTTCATTTAAAAGAATTCCAAAAGATGTCCCATACATTCTCATTTGTAAATATCAATGAGGATATCTCTTATACACATAAGTTGCGAGCTTGGTGTACTATTGCAGTAAGCAGATACTGGCTACTAAAATCCATCTGTAATACAAACTAAGTCTCTTTAAAGAAGTTATTCCATAATCATTAAAAGTCTATAATGGATATAAGTATCTTACCATTTTTGCCTTCACATGAAAGGGCATAAGCACCTACTGTGCTGGCATGATCGTAAAGAGCTATATAAATATCATGCATAATAGTTTAGTTAACATAAGAGATGGCAAAAAAGCCTACATCAGAGTCCTGCTCTTCTGACAATCTTGTCCAGTATCTCCAAAAAAAGTTAATTGTCATAAAACTACAAGCCCTCATTTGGATTAATAGAAAATCTCCTATACCATGTATCTAAAATCTTTCACTATTTTCTTTCCAAAATAAAGGGCCATGAAATTGGACCTGCACAGACTTACAAATGTGACTCGTTACTGGACACTTGTCAATCATTATGTATTACATGGATGCCCAAAAATGACACCTTACTGTATTTGAATTAAACCCACCATTAACCTTACCATAGATATTTATAGATTTTTAAAACCTAAATCCTATGTTCTTCACCATAACTAATTAGCAATAAGCAAGATTAGTTGTCTAGAAACATTATTTGGTATAGGGTGCTGACGGAGTTCAATAGCCCTTAATAAAGTCTTGCAGCAGTCTTAATGAACATTAATATTGAAGATTTTGTTAGTAATATTATCACAGTGCCACGAGTGCCTACATACCAGACATCTGCAAGTGTGCAGTCAATATTTGACAAAACTCTTAATAACAAAACACTAATATGATTTATGGATGTCCTGAAATATAAGATGGTGGATTACAGAAAATTCCATAATCATTTACAAGTTCAACACAATGATGAGCACAGTATGCTGTAAGTGTAATATATATATTAAAATGTATGTATATTCCTCAAGTGTACAGTATATTTGGTTACACAATTTATGAAGTTCCAATACTTTGTTTAATAAAATAGCACATTTTCTTGATTCTAGTAATTATCATGTAATATCAATAAATAATGTACAGTAATGTACTTAAAGTATTCACTTAGACTATTACATTATTAATGAATCATTCCACAGTTGATGCAACATTAAATTGATGGTTCTTTTAAAACAATTAGTTGACAGTTCAGTTATCAATTAATGCCTTCATATAACCTAATTATAAAATATATTGCAAATCTTTGCAGGGTCACAAGAGCACCTTATTTTTCTCCTCTGTATTGATAATGAATCCATAGCACTAAAAGTGGTCATTCCTGCACACATTCTCTGCAGCACCGTGAATGCTTCATTAACCTATACACCAAAGCAGGCATTATTAGAAGTGAAGGCTCTTAGGCTACAGGATTTGGACACAGCACCCAATTTCCTTCTTCACTCTGAATGTTTCAGTCTTTGTCATGCCAGAACAGTTTGTGGTGCAGCTACAGTACATACAATATCACATATTTAGCATGTACCACTGTGCAAGATGCTACATTCATCAATATTTTTTTTTTAATAAAAATATTTATTGTAATATGTATTTGCAACCAGAGGTCAAAAGAAATTATAAATCATTCCCATTTCATTTAAATTGACATTGTGTTAAGAATCAAAATTTATCATTCACTGCTTGTCGTTTATGCCTTTGCTTACAGCTCTTCGTGATCAATTGAATCTGGTGGTAAAGGGGTCCCAAGTGTAGAACTGCTTCCATTTGTCATTATTGATAAATCTAATGGTGCAGATGTTGCACATGCTGGTGTAGAAAAAGTGGAGGGAGTGGGTGGTGGTGTAACCTTTAAGGAACAGGATGAAGATTCAGAGGAAGAGTCTGAAGAGGAGGAGGAAGCTGAGGAGGTAGAAGGGGATTTTGAGTGTGATGTGTGAATGATTGCTGGCACAGGATCAGTCATACAAGTATTATGATCCTCGATGCAAAATGTGGCAGAGTTTACAATAGGTCTTGAAACTGTATTAGGGCTAGAGTTGTTTACAGAACTGGATTCTTCTTGAGAAGAGGATGTATTGGCTGTTGGCCTATCATCTTGAGTTAACTTGCAACAATCGGTTTCAGTAGTTCCATTGGTAGAACAAGGAATGAAAGAAGCATTTCTTGAATCAGAATTTTCCAGTGAAATTTCTTCTGCAGTAACCACTGTAGATTCTCCTGTGGGAACAAAGATTTCTTTTTCTGTCTTGAAACTGTCTGTATTTGACACACAACTTTCTGTGGCAGGCATGGAAGACACAGCAGGTGGAGAAGTTGGCACTTGAGGTTCCTGTGGAGGTGGTGGTGTGCCTTCAGAGTATGAATTTTCAGGGGAAGGTTCTCTAGAAAGTGTCACCCTACTGGGTGTGGCTCGGGAGTGTGTTGGAGAGCCTCTGGTAGAAGAAGCTTGGGACTGTGTAGGTGAACAGTACTTGGCACGGATGTGTAGGAAGGGGTCTGCAGACTTAAGGTTAAATACCGTCACCTGTAAGAAATTAAATGTCGTTAAGTATAGGGTAAAAATTTGTATAAATCTAATGATCAAATATTTTAGTATTACACAAAAAAATATAACTATGAAATTATATGTAATATTAAATTGTTAAATTATAGTTTTCCATTTAAACATTAAATTTTAAAATTGCTAACAATTTATTACTGGACTGTTTAATAGTCTTTGAATGTTGGTTAAGAAAATGTACATAAACAGCAAATCCTAACTATCCGTGGTATTTTTATTTTCAATATTGGTTATTTATGAATACTATAAATATTCAAAGATTTTATGAATAATATTTTAAAGCAATATATTTATTTTAAGTAAATTAGTCAATAAACATGCAATACTATAAGACGTAAGCCTACACTATGCTTTGCCAGCAGTGACAAAGAAGAAACAATGTGCCTGAGGCCCAGACAAAGATGAAACCCATGATGGAAACAGACCTTTTCGCAGTCTACAAGGAACCCAAAAAGTCGTCAAAGAAAGAACCTCGAACTCAGGCTAGCAGATAAATCAACTTGCTGGTTTAGCCACCTAGCCAGTCATCAAGGCAGGACTAAAGACAAACACCCAGATCTGTCACACCAGAGTGGGTTGTGGGCACCAGGGGACCAACTGAGGGTTCGAGGAACCCCCCCCCCCCAGACACCAACTGAGGGTTCATGGAACCCCCCAGATACCAACTGAGGGTTCATGGAACCCCCCCCAGATACCAACTGAGGGTTCATGGAACCCCCCCCCAGATACCAACTGAGGGTTCATGGAACCCCCCCCCCAGATACTAACTGAGGGTTCATGGAACCCCCCCCAGATACTAACTGAGGGTTCATGGAACCCCCCCCCCCAGATACTAACTGAGGGTTCATGGAACCCCCCCCCCCCCCAGATACTAACTGAGGGTTCATGGAACCCCCCCCCCGGACACCAACTGAGGGTTCATGGAACCCCCCCCCCGGACACCAACTGAGGGTTCATGGAACCCCCCCCCCCCCCGGACACCAACTGAGGGTTCATGGAACCCCCCCCCCCCGGACACCAACTGAGGGTTCATGGAACCCCCCCCCCCCCGGACACCAACTGAGGGTTCATGGAACCCCCCCCCCCCCGGACACCAACTGAGGGTTCATGGAACCCCCCCCCCCCCCCGGACACCAACTGAGGGTTCATGGAACCCCCCCCCCGGACACCAACTGAGGGTTCATGGAACCCCCCCCCCCCGGACACCAACTGAGGGTTCATATGGAACCTCCCTGGACACCAACTGAGGGTTCATGGAACCTCCCTGGACACCAACTGAGGGTTCATGGAACCTCCCTGGACACCAACTGAGGGTTCATGGAACCTCCCTGGACACCAACTGAGGGTTCATGGAACCTCCCTGGACACCAACTGAGGGTTCATGGAACCTCCCTGGACACCAACTGAGGGTTCATGGAACCTCCCTGGACACCAACTGAGGGTTCATGGAACCTCCCTGGACACCAACTGAGGGTTCATGGAATCTCCCTGGACACCAACTGAGGGTTTATGGAACCTCCCTGGACACCAACTGAGGGTTCATGGAACCTCCCTGGACACCAACTGAGGGTTCATGGAACCTCCCTGGACACCAACTGAGGGTTCATGGAACCTCCCTGGACACCAACTGAGGGTTCATGGAACCTCCCTGAACACCAACTGAGGGTTCATGGAACCTCCCTGGACACCAACTGAGGGTTCATGGAACCTCCCTGGACACCAACTGAGGGTTCATGGAACCTCCCTGGACACCAACTGAGGGTTCATGGAACCTCCCTGGACACCAACTGAGGGTTCATGGAACCTCCCTGGACACCAACTGAGGGTTCATGGAACCTCCCTGGACACCAACTGAGGGTTCATGGAACCTCCCTGGACACCAACTGAGGGTTCATGGAACCTCCCTGGACACCAACTGAGGGTTCATGGAACCTCCCTGGACACCAACTGAGGGTTCATGGAACCTCCCTGGACACCAACTGAGGGTTCATGGAACCTCCCTGGACACCAACTGAGGGTTCATGGAACCTCCCTGGACACCAACTGAGGGTTCATGGAACCTCCCTGAACACCAACTGAGGGTTCATGGAACCTCCCTGAACACCAACTGAGGGTTCATGGAACCTCCCTGAACACCAACTGAGGGTTCATGGAACCTCCCTGAACACCAACTGAGGGTTCATGGAACCTCCCTGAACACCAACTGAGGGTTCATGGAACCTCCCTGAACACCAACTGAGGGTTCATGGAACCTCCCTGGACACCAACTGAGGGTTCATGGAACCTCCCTGGACACCAACTGAGGGTTCATGGAACCTCCCTGGACACCAACTGAGGGTTCATGGAACCTCCCTGAACACCAACTGAGGGTTCATGGAACCTCCCTGAACACCAACTGAGGGTTCATGGAACCTCCCTGAACACCAACTGAGGGTTCATGGAACCTCCCTGAACACCAACTGAGGGTTCATGGAACCTCCCTGAACACCAACTGAGGGTTCATGGAACCTCCCTGAACACCAACTGAGGGTTCATGGAACCTCCCTGAACACCAACTGAGGGTTCATGGAACCTCCCTGAACACCAACTGAGGGTTCATGGAACCTCCCTGAACACCAACTGAGGGTTCATGGAACCTCCCTGAACACCAACTGAGGGTTCATGGAACCCCCTCGGAACCAGTCCGTCTAATTACCCACAACCACTCAAAGCCACCCAAAGCTTCCTGGCATTACGTTAGTAATGAATAAATATGATATATTTACTCATTATAATGTGCTGAATGTAGAACATGGAAAAACATATTTTTACTCTGAAAAAGTATCATTTCATAACGAAATCAGATGAAAGTTAGTTGCTTGTGACGCCAAAGCAAGTCGACGGTCCAAGCAACATTGTTGTGGAGCGGCATATCCAAGACACATTGTTGCCTAAAGAGTATTTGCTGGCATATTAGCCACCTGTACCTACCTACTTAACCTAACCAGCCTACCCAAACATAACCTAACAAAACATAACAAAACCTAACCTAACCTAACCAAACCCAAGTTAATATAACCTGTACGCAACAATATGTGAGCCGGGGCTCACCCAGAAAATGGTGTTTCATTACTTTCAACGCTGGTTTTCTGTGGGGAGCCCCTACGGTTCCCTGGAGCTACACACCCAAAGAGAAAGAAAATAGGGACTTACCTGAGAGGCGGTCGCCAAAAACTCCTCAACGTGAAGTCGAAACAACTGGCTGCAACCTGCGACCCAAAGCAACACAAGAACGCCCAGGAGCAGGCATGTTCACCAAATAACGAGGGGCCAGGACCCTGTTCGATCGTCAAAATCCACACGCCCGAATATGAGCCCAAGACATGTTACCAAACACGGCAGCCAAAGCTGCAAACTTCCGGACGTCATGGGCGCGAGGATAGACTGCAGGCTGGCTAGACTTAATAACCCTGTGGACAACCTGGATCAAACTGGATCAACCCAAAGCGCATCCCCAGCCGAGGCGCGCAGGTAACGGTGAAGAGCCGCAACCGGACACAACACATTCAGATTCAGATTCAGATGTTTATTCAGGTAAGGTATATACATACAAGTGATGTTACATTAATGGATTGATATATAGATAGAGCTAGTACATACAATGCCTAAAGCCACTATTACGCAATGCGTTTCGGGCAAATGATGCACCCCCGGCCGGCCGTTTCGGGCACATGATGCACCCCCGGCCGAACCAACCAAGTGTCAATGACCCAAGGACCCCTCCAAAAAGCAGCCGTCTCGTTCTTCGCCTGGAAAGACAGAGAAGGCTGCAAACGCAACAAATTTACCCCCAGGACCAATAGAACAGAAACCCCTGCACTGGAGGAGAGCATAAAGCTCCCCTTCCTGACCCCCAGAGGCCAATACCAACAAAAACAAGGCCTTGAAAAAACAATCTTGGACCGAAGGGGCCACCACAAACCGAGGAGAGGAAAGATAAGAGAGCACCCTGACCAAGGACCAGGATGGCTCGGGTGATGCATGAGCGGGCCAGAGGTGAAACATAGCATGAGAAAGCGTACGGAACGGGGCAGATGTGACGTCCACCCCGAAAGCAAGCTGGAGCGGCTCCACCAGCGTCGCACGATACAAAGCGTCGGTATTAGGCATCAAATGACGGTCCTGAAAAAGCCAAGAAAGAAAAGACAAGACAACCCGATCTGAAAGAGAAGACAACTTACAAAGAACAAGAAACGGCGAAAAGAACGCCAGGATACTTCATACTGTTGCCGAGACAAAGCTGTCAGGTGGGACACCATCAAAGAAACCACTTGATCACCATAGAAATGGTGATACACCCCCGTCAAAAAGATCAGACGTGAAGAGCAGAGAAGATCGAACCAGCCTCGTACCGGACCGGGCCGACCTGCTGAAAAAGGCGGAGCTGCGGGAAACACCCCGGGTTTAGATTCCGAGCAAACAGTGCCAGAAACCAAGGCTGGGCCGACCACCAAGGGGCCACAATGACTACTCTCCCTGGGAAGGTCTCCAACCAAGTCAGAACCCGAAGCAACAGCTGGACCAGGGAAAAGAGGTACAGGTAACCCCACCTCGACTAGTCCTACCAAGAGGCATCCACTGCGAACGCCTTGCAGTTTGGGAAGGGCATCACATATACTGGTAGACGCCAAGACCCGTCGACGCGAACAGGTCCATGTCCGGGAGTCTGAACGTCTGGCAGATCCAACGAAACGAATCGTCGTCAACCGTCCAATCCGTGGAATGAAGAGAGACGGGCCATCTGCCAGGATGTTGGACACTCCCTGGATATGAACTGCACAGAGAGCCAAACCCCGAGAATCCAGCAAACGAACCACTTGAAGGGACCAACCCCAAAGAGGCAAGGACCGAAGAGAACCCTCGTGGTTCGGGCAATGAACCACCGGAGAACAGTCCGAATGGAGCCGGATGGTTGAACTCCAAGTGGCCCGAACCCTCCGAAGCATGAACCAGACAGCTGCAAACTCCCGAACCGTGCTGTGAGCCCGACGGAAGGATGGACCCCACCGTCCCTAGCTGGCCTGGTGAGCACTGGTCACAAAGCCCCAGCCGAGAGACAACACATCCGTGAACACATCGAGCGAAGGCTCGGGAAGGCACCAAGGCACTGAACCCCGAAAACCCCGAAGAAGAAGCCGGCGACGCAGCAACTAACACAAGGCCCCCGGAGGACAAACCCAATGATTGCAAGAGAGATGGAACGGGCATACCCGAAGGAACTAAAACAGACGCCGAAGCCAAACCCTACCTGGCGGGTAGACCAGCACGGCAAAGTTCAGACTCCCACACAACCATTCGAGCAACCAGCAAGTGACCTTGGACTCCCACAGAAACAGCTGACGGCGGGACCGCAGCCACAGCAACGCCTCTGGAGGGAGAGACAAGGAAGCGGTCCGAAAATCCCAAATAAAACCCAGCCAGGTCCAAGCCTGGGACGGAACCAGATGGGACTTCCTCCAGTTCACCAGGAACCCCGAACCTGGTGAGCTGGGAAAGAACCATATCCCTGGCGAGCAGACAAGCTGACTGACTGGGAGCCCACACCAGTCGTCGAGGTAGGCCAAAACCCGAATCCTTAGCAGACGCAGACGGGTCAACACAACCTGGGTAAGACTTGCAAAAACGCGAGGTGCCAGATTCATGCTAAAAGGGAGGCATTGAAAGCGGTAAGCCTGATGCCCCACTACGAAACCTAACCAGTGTTTGAACCCCGGATGAATAGGAGGGTGCCAATAAGCATCCTTGAGGTCTGGGGACACCATCCAGGCCTGGCTCCAACAGAAGCCAGACCTGAGACAGAGTAGTCATCCGAAAGGAGGGGCAAGGAATCCAGGGGATCAGACAGGACAAGTCCAGAATGAACCTCAGATCTGCACAGTCGTGTTTTGGCACTGGAAACGGGCGGGAAACCCACCTGAGGGACGGGATCGTTTCAACCACACCCAAGTGCAGAACCACCCCTAGATCCCTTGAGTAAGTTCGTTACACAGGATCTTCCAGATCGAAAACCATACTGTCTGTCTGATAATATAACATTTTTCCAGGTGTTCAACCTATTTAGTTTAAATTATTTTTTCCAATATTTTGACTATTACACTTGTCAAAGATACAGGTCTATAATTGAGGGGGGTCTTCCCCGCTGTCACTTTTGTAATTAGTAATTACATAGTAATTGGTGAACTTATATCCTACATAGTAATTTGTAGATAGAAGGTATGTTAGCCTTTTTCCACACATCAGCTACAACTCCTGTACACAAGGATGCCTGTAAATCAGTTGAAGTGGAATACTGAGCTCAGGTGCACATTCTCTCAGAACCCATGGTGAAACTCCATCTGGACCAACAGCTTTGTTCTTACTTAGCTCCTTGAGCATTTTTTTACTTTGTCTCTAGACACCTCAATGTGCTCTTATGTTGTTCTCTGGAATTCTTATTGTCTGGTTTCCTGAAGATTTCATTTTGTACAAACACAGTTTGGAACTTTTCGTTTAATGTTTCACACATTTTCTTTTCATTTTCTGTGAATCTATTTCCCATTTTCACCCTCTCTCCTCACTGCCGTGTAGTTGTTTCTCGCATCTTTGCATCGCTGATATGTTTGGGGGTTTGGCCTCTTCCTATATTGATTTCTTTAATGTCTTTTGGTCTCTGGCCTCTCTCAATTCCTGTCGAACCAATCCTGTTAACTAGTAACAGGATTGTTACTTTTACAGGATTGTTAACTAGTTACAGGATTGTCCAGACAGTAACTAGTTAACATCTCTGCTTTGGTATAAATTTTTTTGTGCTTTTATCATATATTTCACAAAACTTGACATACATCTCATTTACTTCATGTCGTAACAGAAAGTGTTTCCAGTCAAATTCCTTAAAGAAATGTCTGAGTTCCCCATAATGACCTCTCATGAAATCAGGCTTTTCAACCGATTCAACCTCATTTTCTTCCAGATTATAACGCATTGCATGCTTTATTCACAAAAAGACATGGTCACTTTTACCCAAGGGAGGGAGGTACTGAATGTTAAATATCTCTAACTCTTTCCTGCTAAATATCAAATCCAGCATGGAGGGAACATCCCTTTCCCTCATCCTTGTAGCTTATTTAACAAGTTGAAACATGAATGTTTCTAGGGTGAGGTTTACGTATCTACAAATCTAAAAATCCTCTGTTCTAGCTTCATATGCCTCCCAGTCTATGGATTTCAAGTTGAAGTCGCTGACTAACAACAGTCGTGATCTATTTTTATCAGCTCTTGCTATAATCTCTCTCATTATTGTTATAAGACCCCTCTTGTTTATTATCCAGATCCTCCTTTGACCATGTGTTGCATGACGGTGGACTATGCATTTATGATCGTTAGTTTATCACCCTGATTGCAGATCTCTAGTGCTCTTATGTAAACTTCTCGTGGATTGGCAACCATTATTTCATTTACCTTAGGTGTTCTTTCACCAGCACAGCAACACCACCGCCTTTCCTAATTTTTCTGTCCTGTCTGCAGACTGTGTAGCCCCCTTGGGAATATGACCTCATTTAAAATATCATCATCAAGTTTTGTCTCCGTGAGTGCAATAATGTATGGTGTCTGCAGCTGTATTACATCACTTAAATCCAATACAGTATTTTTTATCTCACTCCAACTATGTTGGTGTATGCAATTTTCAGGAACATGTTCCCCCTCTCCTTATTCTTCACTACCTCTTTCTCTAGTGATTTTGTTGGTTTGCCTTTATGTACCATTTTGCTGGTCTGCTTACCCCTATCACTTTGTAGAAAAAAAAAAAGAATTTATTTCTTTTTCATTCCTGCTCTCATTTAGACATTTTGTCCCGACGAGGTAAATAAAAATTTATTATTATTATTATTATTAATGACCATACTTTCCCTTCCTCATCACTTTGTAATTTTCTAGCATTCCTTAGTACTCCTGCCATCTGTTTGACACCGTTTAGGGTGATCCTCAAAGGTCGATCTTTCCCTTTTATGTACTTTCCAATTTAATTTAAATTTATGTACTTTCTTTTTGTACTTATCTTGTTAATCTAGTGTCCCTATGCCTCTATTGAGGGTGCTAAATTTTAGTCCTGGCCCCTGGTAGGTGCTTGTCTTAGAACGTGGGTTTGGCAGATTCTTGATGGATTGTTTAGGAAAAACAAAGGGGGAGCCCTCCAATAAGTGTAGGTAAATAATTCCATCCAATGGCTGCCAGTAGATGGCAATGCAATAGAGGAGATGGCTGCAATATGTGAAACTCTGAAACCTTATTTACCTGCTTTGGGTCATGACGAAGGAGGTAGTGCTCTAGGGTGTCCCATCCTCCCCCCACTCGCACCATCACATGCTTACCCTTCAAAAGCTGAAAATGTTAAAAAGTTAATTAAAAGTTATATTTATTTGAAAGTGAATGATTAGAACAGTATAAAAGTTACCTAGATATATATAATTTTCATGTAATAATTATGCAAGTCTAATGCAAGTTAATCTATTTAAGTCTTACATCTAGGTGCTCATGGAAAAACCCATCATTGAATGTTTTGCAAAAGTCACTTTCTGGTAGAGCCCCTGGTGGCTCCCTGAAGCTATCTTGCTGAAATTGCTCCATGTTAATTAATCACATCAGTCATGGAAGTTCTGTTTGGACTACCAGAGCCAGAACCTAGTCCCTCCACACAGATGTGCAGGGCGCAAATGACAATTTGCCACCAAGAAAACATCCAGAAAGTCAGTTTACCTTTAGAAATGATTGGTAGGGTCACAGAAAACAAACCATTGAAACTGTCAAACAACGCTACAAACAATTTACATGGAACAAGATTTGCTGAAAGTAACTCAAAACTCTAGTATTAATCGCCACCATCAGATGGCCCAAACCCTGCCTTCAGTCACCTTCCCCACTTTCTTGAGGTGATGAATAACTCGCCGACAAACCAAAAAAGGAGGGAGGGAATTGGAAAGTAACAGAGGTTCAACTAAAAGAGGCATTTCATTACATTTAATGTTGGATTTTTGGGATGGGGTGGGGAGGGGGGTGCTCTGAAGCTAGCCTCAGAGAACAAGAAACTGGACTTGAGGGGGAGAGGTGACAAGCATTAGGATAAAGAAGAGAACCCAGACTGAGAGACACGGCCCAAAGCAACACAAGACAAACGAGACTGACAACAGTAACTAAATACCGGGCTGTTTGAACCCTATCAGAACACCAAAACTCCTGGGACTGAATATCAGCCCAGGGCAAGTTGCAGAAGACTGTAACTAAAAACATGTATTTGCAAACATCATAGGCCCAAGGGTAGACCACATGCTAGCTAGACTTAATGATGCAGTGTATCACCTGAGAAATGTGAACCTTGAAAAGGGACCAAGGAAACCGGGTCAATCAACAAGGTGACCACCAAGGCAGAACTGGTGGTTTGCAGTTAGTGGCAAAGAGCTGTCAATGGATGCAACATATGACACTTCTGGTCCAACCAACCAAGAATTAATTGCTAAAGGACCCCTCTGGAAGCCTGCTTACTCATTCTTTGCTAGAAAAACAGGTGAAGATTGCAAATAAACAAACTGAGCACCAGGGTCAAAAGAACAGAACCCCCTTTCCCCCACCTCATGAAGTGTAAAGCTCTCCAATCCTGCAACCAGAGGTGAGAGCTAATGAAAACACAGCCTTGAGAAAGACATTGTGAGTCGAAGGGGAAACCGCAATCTGATGCAGGGAGAAAGAGAAGCCAAAACCCAGTCTAGAGACAAGACAACTGAAGAGAAGCATGGGCCAGTGAGAGGTGAACAAAATTCATGAAATAACTTGCTAAATGGTGCCAAGGAAGTGTCGACATTGCAGCTTGACTTCTCAAGCGTTCATAATGTCACTAAACCGATGTACTAAATTGCCCGAACATAACCTAATCGAGGATCAAAGAATCACGTAAATTTTGCAAGCCGACGTGATTTTTAGTACATTAGTTTTTGGCTTTTGGGGATTTATACATCAAAATCGATATGCTATTCAAGAGGACAGGTTGGACACTTAATGTAAGCAACAGTGGCTCCACAAATGCAAAGAGATACATGGCAACAGTATTAGACTTAAGATGTGGATCAAGAAACAACCAAGACAAAAAAAAAAAAGATAGGACTTCCCTGACCGAAACCAATAAAAGATGCCACCACCAGAAAAGACGCAGGTTGGACACCAACAAACCAGCCTCATGTTCATCACACAACTGGTAATAGACTGGCATAAAAACTTCCAGACACATAGAGCAGAGAAGGAAGAGCCAGCGAGAAGCACCGAAAACTAAGGTTGGGGCAGCCACCAAAGAGCCAGAAGGATCACCCTGCCCAAATATGTCAAACCAGGTAAGACCTGACCAATCCAATTGGAAGCACCTTGCAGTCAAGGAAAGGAGCCATGTAGGAGGGAAGGTGCTGGTTCCATGCCAACATGAAGCATTCTACCTCACTGCAACCAAACCTCTCGCACAACCAGTGGAAGAATGTCATCGAAAGTTCTCTCTATGGAAATGGGATGGAAGAGAGATGACCAATCCCTGAGAACATTAGCCACACCCTGCACATAAACCACATGGAAAACAAGACCCTAAAATCCAACAGCCAATCTATTAAAAGCAACCAGCTTTACAAGGCATTGAACTGAAGCACTTCTCATGGTGAATTCAGGCAATGCATCACTGGGAAGCAGTCAATGGAACTGGAGCATGGAGCCCAGTGGAAGTCTCCTCACGGCATGCCACACAGCTGCAAACTCGCACAGAGTACTTAGTGGCCAAAGGAATGGACCTAACCACTGACCCTAGTTGACTTATGAACACTAATCACGAAGCCCCAAGCCAAAGCCAAGGCATCCATTAGCACAATGAGTGATGGGCAAAGATGGTGCCACAGAACCAAAATCCAAAAGCTCGAAGGGGAAGCTGTTAAAATAAAAGCCGATGAACTGTGTGTGGGGCCTGAACCCGTTGATCTAGGGAGCAGCAAAACGGGTGGAACTGGAGAAACCCGTGTAATGCCCTAAGCCAAACCCTGCTTAGCAGGAAAACTACACAGGCAAAATTCAGGCTCCCACACAACTGGTAGACAACCAGCAAGTTACCCTGGGCTTTTACAAGACCTGAAGGCAATGAAGCTGCAGGTGGAGCAAAGCCACCAAAGGCATGGACAGAGAAGACAACCAAGAGCCTCAAACTAGGCTCAGCAAAGTCAAAACCTAGGAAGGGACCAACTGGGACTGATTCCAGTTCACCAGGAACCCAAACCTAGCGAGCCAGGAAATAACCAGATCACTGGCCAGCTGACATGCAGACTGACTGGGGGCCTACACCACTTAGTTGTCAAAGTAAGCCAATACATAAATATTAAGAGATGTAGCTAGGTCACAAAAACCCAGGCTTACCTGGTATACAGATAGGGGGAGCCAGAGTTAATCTGACGAGGAGGACCCTGAAGCGGTAAGCCTGATGCCCTACAGTGAAACCTAGTCAGTCCCTGAACCTGATTTGTATAGGGATGTGCCAGTATGGATCCTTGAGATCCAGGAATGCGATCCAAGCTCCAGCCTGTAGTAGCAGGTGAACTTGGGCCTAATTGGTTATGCTGTAGGTCAGATGGGAAATGAAGCTACTCAATCCCAAAAGATTTAGGATGTACCATAGGTCTGCCAAATCCTGCTTCGGGACATGCACGAAAGGGATGAGGCCACCTTGACCATGCCAGTCCAGCTAAGCCACAATGACCTGATGCAGTACCTGGGTGGAATCCTGACTTGTAAGATCCAACCCCAAGAATGGGGTAGGATCAACTTCACCACAGGGTGAGGGAGACAAGCCAAAAAGTCAATGAATCATGAGACCAGGATCTGGCAAAATAAACCAGATGCCCCCCACCCCCAACAGTGGCATCAAAGGGCTGAACCACAATAGGGCTGGAACAACCACAAGCAGAACCCCTCATTCTGCAACACATAGTTGTAATGTCAAGCAGAAGAATAATTTGCTTTAGGAAGCACAATGGCCTGGAACTCAGACCCACATGAGGACCTACCACAACCAACAGCAGGCGAGGTCCCCAAAGTCAGATTGCCTCCAAGTTGGGGAAGAACCCTGAGAAAGCTGATGATCAACAGTATGGCAAGAAAAAGCTGCAGCGGACAAAACCTTGGTGACATCATCCTCAAGAAGCCGAAGCACAAAAAAAAGTGGTGGGGGGGGGGGGGTTGTTGACACTTGAGGTTGGCCAAGTAAAATAATGCTACCACCTCTCGAAGGAGAGGAGTATGCATCTTGGGCAAGGCAGGACCCACAGGTTTCAAGGCTCCACACCTGGGGTGAAATCAAGCAATGCCACATCCTCAGTTACTCTGAGCCCCTCCACAAGGACCCTATCCATGCCAGACTGCCACTAAGTGTCATCACCCTGTGGTCCTCTGCAATAAGGGCCCTGTGCAACACCACCAGCTACACATGGAGCTGTCACTTGCCCACATCCTTGGGAAGTGCCACAGCAAATGAGCAGTCCCTGAGCAAAGCAAAAGAATTTCTTGTTTTTTTTCCTGAAAGATGGAACTTGCCTCCTGCCAGTTGAGTGTGTGGGTCCAACGGAACCCCTGCCAAGCTCCAAAGGATAAAGAGAGTTTTGTCAGCCAGCCAGGATGAACCTGTACCCCCCTCACCATGCAGCTATTAAGTAGAGACAGACACATACTCAATAGAGGTCAGGTCTATAAATTTTAAGAGGTATGAGTTCTGCAGGAGATACTGGAACAAATCCTTGTGAACTACCAAAGGCAAAATGCTAGAAGACAAAAACCTCCATGAACACGACGACTCGGAGGCACTGAAAAAAAACTGGAATTGAACCTGAAAGTGTGCAACCAAGCAGTCGACTTGTATATTGAGTGGTAAGAAAATTTTTCCTCCCAAAGCAAGAGGCCCCATGCAGAGGAAACCAATGTCCAATGTCCAAGAAGGGCTGAAGGGCATCTCATGGACTTTCCTTGGGCTTCCCCTCAGTCCCAGAAGCCTGCCATGAAGGCTCCGGGGCAGAGTCATAGCCCTCATCCAATACCTGCAACAGAAGGGTGTCCTTCCAAGGAGAAGGTTCAGAGTAAGGTGGGCAGATGTGAAGGCAAGTGCTCTGAAACCCCAGCGAGACCAGAAGGCTTGACTGCCTTTACTGTTGAGGACAAAACCACCTCTGGAGAGATGGTCAAGGTACATCCTAAGATAAATCCTGACCCAACTCCGAAACCATTGGATGCTTTAGAGCTGGAATGAGGGGAAAAAAGCCAGAAGCAGGGCAAGCAACATCCACAGGGAAACAAAAAAAAGAGATGTGGACTTGGTTCAAGTGGAGGTGACCAGCACCAATAATTTCAGGTTCCTAAAAAACATATGGGCAAACTCAGGAGCATCTAGGCATGTAATATTCCGTGAATGCCAAATTCGGGCATACCACGCTTGCAAAGTGGTAGCTAGCTGAAAAGCTTTCAAACCCGAAGCTGAATTCTTAAGAATTCAGCTTTGGGTCACACCCAATAAGAACACAGGGTTCTGGTTCGTAGGTGTCACTGACCCATCAGGCAGCATGGTGGAGGCAGAAAGAATGATGATCGTCAGGTAGCAAAGATGATGAGCACCCTTCGATCTTGCACTCGGTGAGCACAGGCTCATGGGGCCGATCCATAGCGAGCCCCGCCAAAGAATCGCGAGGGGATTACCAGGGCCTGAAGGGAGCTATCCAAGCAGAAGCATAAGGTGCTGGGGCCCTTCCTTTACCAAAAGAATAGACATCAAATGAAGCCAAAACAACCAGGCTATGAATGTTAACCATGGAACACTGTATAAACAAGCATGGAAACCCCAGTGTGCCTTAATATATCCAGCAGAATACTCCCAGCCAAGGGCCCAAAAAGTGGAGTCAAAGACCCCTTGAGCAGCCCAAGGTGAGGCTCTTCACCCTGGGGGGCCCTGGCTTTTTGGAATCAAACTCCTGAACACGGCAGAGAAGACAACTGTTTTCATTGCAGGGGAAGTGCAAGTAGGCACCCAGGGTAGAAAACTGAGTGCATGCAGCCAAAAGTACAACAAAAGCAAAGCCCACACAATAATCCGGAAAGTAAACACACACACACACACATACATGACGCTAATAGTTAAATCTAAACCAATATACAGTACTGTACAAGCAAATGGCCCCTGCAGAACAAACTAAGTCCATGGATGGCTAACACCTAGCTTGAAGCATGAAGGATAGATGAATTTGTTTATGTAATAATCTAAGTTGAGGTCTGATAAAAATCTTTTCTGCCCTCTGTAATGCTTTTTGCACTACCGCTCACAGGATGGGTGTGGGGTCCACAGCAAACTGGCCGCCTCTGGCGGCAACAATCAAAAGCTTAAAGCACAAGGACTTGCCCATGACAGGCAGACCGGAGCACTACAGGAAGCTGTCATCACCATAACATCAGCAACAGAACTGATTAGGAGAGTCAGCTGGGATCAGGCTGCCTGGTGGTGGCGATCTGTTCTAATGAGTTTAGAGCTAGTTTGACGTGGAACGAGAGATTCACTCAATCATTTGCAGAGTTGTTTGGCAGTTTCGAGGCTTCGTTTTTGTGAAGCTCCAGTTGTCTGTTAAGCTTCATTGGCTTTCTGGATGTTTTTCCAGTAGGATGATGAATGGTCACACTCCTCCTGTGCCTGTATGAGGGTGCCCCCCAGTAAACCAAACAGAACTTCCACAACTGATGTGACCCATTATCATGGAGCAATCTCAGGAAGATAGCTTTAGAGAGCCACTTGGAGGGGGCTTCCCCAGAAAATACATTGAAAACCCATTAGGATCAATTGCATATGGCAATTTGAACACTGAAGGTTAGTGATTGGAGCAAGGTGAGGGTTGAGGATTTAATCAGCAACACATTTTTCTGCAGATTTTGTATTCAAGAGACACTTATTTTAATTTCTTTGAGCATAAATTAAGGTAAATTATTTTAGTGCTTTTAGAATGTGTTATTAGTTATTTGTGAGCATGTTAATTATCACAATAAAACATTACCATCAAGCATTGAACAGACAATAAATTTATTTGTGCTATTGCGCATGCATTACAATACAAATACATTATACAAATACAGACATAGGCTACAGATATATCATGCTCAGCAATTTATGAAAATAACAAACATTATTAATATACTGTATGTGTAATACAAGGAGCAGCAAGATTTGTGAATACTGTATTTCAACTACTTTTACAAAATAAATTAAGTTTAAATGTTTTCAAAACAAAGAAAATTCATATAGAAATCAAAACAAAAAACTGAGCAATGTTTACATAGGGGTCTATAGAAGTGCTGGCCGTTGCAGTTGTTGTAACTGGAATTCGGCATTTCTGCATAAGAATATAATTTTGTTTATGTAACAAGAAAATGTTGATGGAAAATAACAATTAACTTAAAATTTAAGCAGAGTTGAAAACTTAAAAAATATAGTACTGAATGTAATGAAACTCTTCTTTCTGGTGGGTCTCACTGTGTGTTCCCAATCTACCCACCTGGGAGCCTCCAAACATTAGGCTCCACACACAAGATTCTAAGAGTCATGAGCAGCTACTAGAAGCCAGTATTGAAATGTGGCCCCCCTCAATAGAGGCAAGGGGGAGTTAAGGGGCACTAGATGCACTACAGTTAATCTAAAGGATTAACCTAAATGACTAAGCATGATACATGTTAGGGTTGTTCATGTTGTCCATGGAATTGCCTGTTTTGTTGCACTTTACCTTTTTGGTGGTTATTCTTTTGGATTATTGTGGTAGTAAAGTACCTCCAGACTCCTCTTGCCCCCTGTTGAGGGAGCTAGTTTCAGTACTGGTTTCCAGTAAGCTCTAGTGAATCTTAGGAACCTGTATGGTACTTAATGTTTAGAGGTTGCTAGGTGAATAGTTAACAGAACCACAGAGGATGTCCTACTATGAAAGAAAGTATGAAACATAAGAGTCCCATCATTGTATGAAATTGGTTGATTTCAGGCATTCATGGAAGCATTCTCAGCCCTGGAAGTGCTGTACTGTACTAACTTTCTGTTTTCAAATGTTTAACAGACTTCAGGCATTGCTTTTTCTTCCCTTTTCTTTTATTGTTTTGTTTCTGCTTTATCATTCTTTATTGATATTTGCAGAGGGAATCTTCATTAATTTCAGTCTTATTTTTTTGCACAAGCTTAAGCTTTGTATCTACAACAGTGAACGTCACATTTGCCAGAATTTGTCACATTTTAAGAAAGATAATGAATCCAATTTATTAATTGGCAAGGTCAACAATAAATTAGCAGTCCCCATGGTGCAGTGGTAAAACACTTGCCCTGTGCTTCATGAGTGATTTGGCCTGGGTTCATAGCTTGGTCAGGGAGGATCGACTAGGTGCCAATCCTTAATTATACGCCTCAGTACCCATTCACTGCTGAGTGAACATAGTTGTTTAAATAATTTGGAGGGTTGTATTCCAGGGAAAAATTAGGATTAAGGACCTGCCCAAAATGCTATGCACTTTACAAGATTGTAAGAACTTGTATATACAAATAAAAAAAATGTAAATACCTTTAACCCTTCAAATGTGCATGACAAATTAGGGATGTTCTCACCATTTATGATCACCTTGTGCGAGACAGTGAGGGATGTTTGAAATACTGCATAAGATTTAACACTCCCGCAGGTACACGTGGCTCATATCTGCTTCCTCATGCATCCAGTAAACAGATGCCATCTTGGAGGAAAAAAAATTGTGGGCACCTCTCCTGGGTGTGAGGGCCTCAGTATTGAGAGAGAAGCAGTGATCAGTGCATGCAGCAGCAGCTCACAGCACTACCATGCAGCTTGTGCCCACATTATCACTTAATAATGATGAAATAAATAAGTAACTGCAATTATTTAATGGCAATAGTGTCATAGATGATCCTGACTGTGATAACAACTATGTATAATGTTCAAAGATAAGTAAACCCAATACTGTTACGATGTTTGCAGCATAAAGCAGACATCCACAGCACACAATGTAGTTTGATGAATTGAAGTCATGAAATAGGACCTCATGTTCCTTTATAAAATGAACTTGTGGAAAATGACTCTTATTCAGGATTTAGTGACAAGGATTCTGATAATAATAGCAGTATTATGGCTAGATAGCTATGTGCATAGTATTTTGGGAGGCACTTTGATATGTCAGGTTCTGTTGGCAATTCATTAGTGTGTGGTGATATGCTGTGCTTGTATTAAGATTTCCATATGCACCAGAACTGCTTATAGTGGTTCATAGTGGTGCAAAAAATACAATTTGCCTGAATTTACTCAAGGGCCATTAACTCTAGTGGCTTAGACAAGAACAGAAAGTTGGTGGCTTGTCAAAGTCCAGTATTTGTCCTGAGGATTTTTTCAAGCTGGACTTTAAAATTCAGCAGTGTTTTGGCAGTTACGGCTTTGGTGGGCAAGCGGTTCCATGGGTTTATAACCCTGTGGGTAAAACAGCATCTCATGTTTTCTGTCCTACATTGTGGCTTGTTGAGCTTCAAACCATTGCTCCTTGTTTGCTACATCTGACCTTTTTGAAGAAGTTGCCTGGATCACTATCCTCCAAATTGTTTAGTATTTAAAAGTTTTTGAAGAGATCTGCCATATCATGTTTGGTTTGCAGTGTTGTTAGCCTTGTGGCCCTCAACCATTCCTGGAATGAGTCAAAACTCAGTTCTAGAATTATTTATTTTGTTCTGGTGTGGTGCTCATAGGTTCTATTACACCTATCAAGGAAAAGTTTCAGATCAAGATTACCATTTAGGAACAAGGTTTTGTACATGTAAATAGCACATGAGAATGTGTGGAGTGAGAATATGTTTAGCATATTAAGGGACTTTAACTGAGGTGGTGTGTTGTCTGAAGACAGAGTTTGCTATAGTTCTGATAGCAGATTTTGCCGAGTGATGATGGCCTTGAGGTAATTTGCAGGGGTTGAACCCTATGTACAGATACTGTATGTAATATAGAGATAGATTAGCACGTAGTATAATGATAGGAGAGCAGAGTGGGGAGCATAATATCTGATTTTAAAAAGTATACCAACCATTTTTTAGACTCTTCTGTGGGGATCTCCTATGGCTCCCCGGAGCTTACTGGGCTGATATGAATGTATTAGCCTGTGGCATCAGTTGATTGGAGTTCTTACTTACCGAGGACCATGAGCCAGAACCTGGCCCCCTCCTCAGATAGGTACGAGGAGCAATGGCCTATGGAAACCACCATGTATTTGAAAGCATTACATGTTTGCCATCGACTGGGGTTTTGCACCCAGAAAGGTAGGAGTAACAAAACAAACCCCACATGGTAAAAAAAAAAATTATTACCAAAAACCGAAGAGAGAAACAGAACTCCCCAAATTTTAAAACAAGCTAACAAGCAAACGTCACAAACCACAGTCGTGACACTAGTCCGCACAGCCCCCCCCCCTCCCCCAGGAGGAGGTAGGGAGCTCCCAGACCCTCAGTGCCAGCTGCTCCACCATTCAGTTCTTGGCTGATGTCCGACTGTGGTGGTCGTCGACTCTGGCCTCTGTTTCAGTGCATTTTTGTGCCTTGTGGTGTATTTCTGTGGTGCTGTGCAGGCCAGAAGTAATTGATCAGCACTGGAGCTGCATGCGCTTAGGGCCACCTTCACTAAGTTCCCTGTAAGTACTGCCTTTGTGTTCTGGAGTTACCTTCCACAGGGCATTCAGGAACCGCTTCTGCAGGGGTCTTTTGCTGCTCGGCAATTGCTTGCCCTTGGGGCCAGTGGGGGTGTTCATAGCCACTGTTTGGCCTTGGGAAGGAGGTAGTGTCGTTGCTGGTAGGGGCACAAGGTACTGTGCAGCTTGTCTCCTATTATACACAGCAGCTGGTTCTGTTCCGTCAGGGAACTTTGTGCTTTGGCGGAGTTGTCTTTTTGTTTATTTTGCCTGGTGGGGGTCTGCCCCCAAATGGTTCTGATCCACCTTCTGCTGTATCTGTGTTCCTCTGCTAGGCCCCTGTGATTGCACACATCACAGGGGATTCAGTTTTTAGCAGTTCTCTTGGTAGTTTGGCCCTTCCTGGTTAGCAGTACCTTGCCTGGTCTTTCCTTAGCAGACAGCCTAAGGGCCCTGAAACCTCATTGGGCCAGTGGATGCATCCTTTGGGGTTCCAACTTGCCGAGTGCGAGTTTGAAGGTTGCTCTGTCCCATTATATCAGGGTGACACTCACCTGTTTTGCCTCCATCATGCTGCCTGTTGGGTCAATGACACTTTTGACCCGGAGTTTTGCGAGTCGTGTTCCTTACTTGTACTCCAGTTTACCCATTCCACTGATACTGATGTTCGGGTACAGGCAGCTTCGGCGTTGCATGCAAGGTATTGGTTGCTGCAGTGAGCTAGGTTGGTTGCTCACCCGGATTCCCTGAGGCTGCCCTGTATGGGTTATGGGGACCCGGACTTGAGGGCTTTGGTCGCTTTGACTTTACTTTCGTCCTCGTTCCCAAGTCCTTCCCCGGTTGGTGTTCATCCTGTTCTGCTCCCCCCCTCCCCTTCACCCTGCTCCCAAACATTTAAGGGTTTCAGAGTCGGGGCTGGGTTTAGATGGTTGTGAGACTTGGGCGGCTTCGGGGGCTGCCCCATCCGGGTCGGAGATGGAGGCATTCGAGCCTGCTCTTCCTGCCGAGACTCCTGGTTCTTACCAGTGGACCCCCTTCTTCTCAGCCTTTCCCCTGGACTTAGTCTTTTCTTCAGGGGCCGAGGGTGTGGAGGACGGCTCTGCCCTGGATCCTGGTGAGGAGGATTTTGAGGCTGGAGAGGAGTTGACTTGGGGGCCTGGGCCCCATTTGATCCCCGCTTTGTTGTTGGTACCCTCATTGCGGGGCTGCTTGTTGCGGGAGGATAGGGGTTTTCTTACCTCCATTCCCTGTATGAGTATGATTTGGATTCGGTTCCGGGTTCCCTTAGGTTCTTTGGTTCCTTCTTACCAGAGGTTTTCGGCTTCTCGAATCTCGCCTTTTGATGTTCGGGAGGCTTTTGCGGCTTACCTCCTGCGAGACCCGTATTCTGCCTCAGTGATAGATCCATCTTTCGAGTTTGGTTCTACTTTCTCCTATTGGGTGCGTTATGAGATACTGGAGTCTTCATGGCTGGTAGATTGCTGTTTCTTTTCATTGGGGGGGGGCGTAGCATGGGTTTTGTCGGAGCAACAGGCTTGAGTGGCAGGAGACCTACTGTTGTGCAGATATAGCTGGGGGGTGAGTTTGAGCGCCTTAATGCATGCTTGTTCGCTCCTGTGCTTCCTTGGAATGTTGGCATTGTGCAGCGTTATGTGCAGGTTCCCCCCTTTCAGTTTCCTTGGTAGCT